AAACGTACTTACTTACACTGGTAAAAACTGGTACTCCGACTTTCTCCTTTGGTGACAAAAATTTCTAAAGGGGGTGAAATTCTTAGAATTTCTACACTTTCCGAAGTAGAAAGCGACCCTAGATGTTTTCAATTAGAACTGCTAATTAATGCAGTAACGTATACGAATTTTAAAAAATTTCTATTCGTATCTTTTGTTGACTATTTTTGGTTTCGTTTATCGAGGATTGTTCGCAATAGATAATTCATTATTATGATTATGCATTGATATGTAAACTCTTATAGACGAAAACAGGAGAATTGTGCACTTAAAGCAAAAGGTACTGAAAATGTCCCTGTTCAAAATTTTTGAAATTTTGAATTCTGGTAGTTCTCTACGTGTAGATCAAAAGTCTCAATGGACGCTAGGTCGTAAAAACTCGTCTTTTTGAGATGTAGTTCCTTGAAGTTGTTCTTACTTAAGGATTTCCAATTGTTCATATTATACGTATTGAATACGTTCAAATATATATTATGTATGTGTTGATGTATTATAACTATTTGAATTGCATATTATGGATGTAGTACGCCTCAACGTGATAGTGTACTAGTATGAAAAAAAAATGTTGGTGTACTTAGAGGGGTAATCAGACCCCAACACAGAACGAGAACCACCAGAATCCAAAATTTCAGAGAATCTGATCCTTTCACTCAGATAATGTTCTTGGGTAAAATTGTAGATCATGATATCGAAAAATCAGGCTTTCCTACTTATATTTCCTTGAATAAGAAGCTATAATGGACAGTTGTCTAATTTTATATCGCAGGATATGGGGCAACATGTGATATTAATTTAGTCGAACGGCTCATTCGTTCTCATCCGATATGGTTTCTTCCTGGAATTCAACGCGCTGGCGCTTTTCATCTTCTTCAAGGCAAAGAAGAAGGTTGTTTTGTGGTCAGACAATCATCGCAACCGGACACAATGGCTCTGTCAGTACGATTACCACCCGATAAAGGGCCGTACATAGAGCATTATTTGATTCAGTCGTCTGAAGGACGGTTAGGTTTAGAAACGAGCGAAAACAGATTTGACAACATGCCTGCTCTTATTGCTCATTATGCTAATTGTTGTGATGAACTCCCTGTGCAATTGACCCTTCCTAAGGCCATTCGTGAAGCTAAGAGTAGACAACAATTGTCGTCATTGGCCCTTTTAGGTCAGGAGTTTTGGAGATACAGTCCTCCACCGTCAGCTTCTTCTAGTCCTGATGTTGATTTGGTTCTTAATCCATTGTTAAGCAGTTTTAAGAAAACGGATTCGTCGACTCCAACTGAAGATGTTTCCAAGCCCATTCGACCCAATACGTTAAATTTGGTGACTAGTGTCGACGCGCCAAAAATGGACACTGTACCAGTGAAGAACACTCCGCTTTTGACGAAAGCAGAACTTTCCAAAGTACCACCTCCGCCGCCTCCGCGGTGGTCTAAACCTACAACGCCTCAAAGCAACTTCGGAACTCCACAAAATAATTTTACCGTTACTACTACCGTTACGTTTAGTGTTAAACCCGAAAGTCCTCGAAATGAGTTGCCGTCGTCGCAAATGGAAGTCGTATGCGATCCCAAAAGGATGTCACCGGAAGGTCAGTGCCATTCAACAGTCTCTTCAAAAGATAATAGTTTGAGAAGAGGTCCTGATCAGGTCGTCTCCCCTAACGGATCCATACTGTCGCCCTTATCTGACCCTAGTAGTATATTATCGCCTGACACCTTATCTCCTCTTTCCGTCACCAAAACGGGGCGGCATAGTAAACGATCAAAGCATAAAATATCGAAGCATTATCAAGAATCCGATATCCTCGATTCCCCAACGGTGTATTATAGAAGTGCTGTGGGAGACAAAGTCAGCGATTATGAAGATCTCTGGACTAACGAGCATTCTACGTTTAAGCCTAGAAATTACAACAATAATAACAATAATAATATTTGCAATAATTTGCCATCTCCTGATCTGCTTCAACACACGCAAAATGTTGTTTCCTTGAACAACAATGTTTTAAGTCCGGCGGACTCTCATAGTGGCTCACAAAGGAGTCATTGCAGCACACCAGTGGTCAACGTATCCAATCAAAATTCACAAAATTTCGTACAATCTCCTGTTGGAGAAGTCCCGAAGAATCCTGAACCGAAAGACAGTGCAAATGGGCAGTCTCCGAAGCAAAGTAGCCCTTTCTATGCTGAACCGGCAGATTCCTTGACGTCTATTGCTGTTCCAAGACGTTTTATCGGAAGAAGTTTAATTCCTATGCAACAAAGGCATTCCAACCCACCGGCCTTACTTTTGCATTCCTCGCTAAGTCCTGGTTTGGAACGAATTGACTCTCCTGAACTTAATGGTAAACATTATAACTTTATATTTTATAATAGAAGACATTGTTTGTATTCTATGTCTTTTACTGTTTATTTTACTAAAATGTTACTTCAGGTACTATTTCTTCGTCTGTTGGTAATTTGAGTCCTAAACAGAAGCCTGTTCCTCTTAAGAAACCGGAAATAAAACCTGTACAACCTCCTTTCGTAAAACCAAAACTAAATGAAAACTGGACTATAGATAACAGCTGGAAGTTTTTGGTCAATGAAAACGATGCAAGTATGGATTTAAGCGATGCAGATTATGACTCAGATTGGCCTTCAGGACCACCTCATTTACCACTGTCTCCACATGCTTGCGATGCTGATGATAGAATTACCATTCAGGATTTAATTGCAAGAAGGTAAGTAATTAATAATTTTTTTTCTCTTTAATATTACATTATGTCATTAATGCTAATAACCATCAACCGTTAAAGAATCGTTGTTATTAAAGATTATGCTTAGAATTATAAATGTTAGTTTTCGACTTAATTTGGCGCGCTTTTTTTCGGTCTTGGCTCGTGCGGTCGCTTTCTTTGGGATGATTGAGCTTTGGTTTCCACGTTATAATCATAAA